TGAAATGAAATATTAAATACTGTCCATCTTGAATATATAACGGAAGGAGGACGCTTGAGAGTTTACAAGGTTAATGTGTGTATGGAATTAAACTATGGTGGAATCTGGATGGCTTGGCTATAAAAAAAAGGGTTCAAAAAAAGTAAAAATTCCCCATCAAGAAGCTGCACAAGACAAATACAATAATAAACAAAATGTTAAAAGCTAACAAATAATTAAAATAAGTTTTCCTGGGCAAGTACAGGGTAGTCCTGAAAAGTTTGCCTTATTGTAAAACGTCCAAAAATCGTAGAAAAATTAAAAGTCGTTTTAAAATCCTCACTTTTTGCTCCAGATAAGAAAAAAATGTACCACTAAGAAAAATCAGCTTCATTTTAGTCACATGACCAAAGTTGATTTATTAGGTGCCATCATCCAGCTGGCACTGACTCTTACTGACCATATAGTAGATCTTCCTCCGAAGGCTTTGTTCAGGACTCTGAACATGTACACATCACCAGGCTACTGAGTCCATCCCCTCTTCTCTTCTACCTTTTCCAACATTATACAGGTGGTCCTTGACTTATGACCACAACGGAGCCCAAAATTTATATCGCTAAGTGAGAAATTTGTTAAGAGAGTTGTGCCCTATTTTACGATTTTTCTTGCCACATTGGTTAAGTCAGGGGTAGGCAACCTTGGCTCTTTTATGACTCGTGGACTTCAATTCCCAGAATTCCTCAGCCAGCATGGCTCAGCTTGGAAATCTCTCCCTTTCCCCTCAGCGTGGCTGGCTCAGGAATTCTGGGAGTTGAAGTCCACGAGTCACAAAAGAGCCAAGGTTGCCTGCCCCTGCGTTAAGTGAATCGCTGTAGTTGTTGAAGTTAGTAACACGGTTGTTAAGTGAATCTGGCTTCCACACTGAATTTGTTTGGGAGAAGGGTGCACAGGGGGATCACGTGCCCCCCGGGGACACTGCGACTGTCATAAATGTGAGTCAGTTGCCAAGCATCCGGATGTAAATCACGTGACCAAGGGGATGCTGCAACGGTCGTAAGTGTGAAAAACGGTCGTCAGACACTTTTTTCAGTGCCACTGTAACTTTGAACGCTCACTAAATGAACTGGTGTAAGTCAAGAACTACCTCTAATGATTGGCTGAGATACAACGTTTTTTATTATTAGGCCCTGCACTGTGGCTGGGCTCCTTCCAAGTCAGACCACTAGCGTGCATTTCTATTAAAAGAATATCTCACCCCCTGAATGAATTCTCACTCTACTTCAACCACATATTTAATCCTACATTTTCTCTACTCACAGTGCCATCATATTCAGTACTAGAAGTACTATTCAAAGATTCTCCTGGCAGAGAATTTTAAAAACAAAAGGTAGATATTCGTACGCAGGGGCAAAGCATCTTTAATCGGAAAGCCTTTTTTCCTATTCTGTATATTGGTAAGAATAGAACAGTGAATTTATATTTACAGTACAAAGAAGAGGAGGGGAAAAGTGAATTGAAAGGTTAAGTTGTCAAATATTTTAAAGAAGCAGAAAGTGTCAATGTTGTTCATGTAATTTCTATAATTCTGCCCTCCAGTTTTTGAGCACTAGATGCTCTACAGGGAAGCCAACCTATCTATACATAATTGTTCTTTCCGCACAGCAACCTTGATTTCACGGGGGATGCATTCCACAGCATTTTAAATCCCAGAGTAAGAAAAAAAATGCAATTATTGTCTCCACGTGCCCTATAATGCCAAACAAATACATTGGAATATTAATTTATGAAACAACCTAGATCATTGCATGTGCTTAGATGCTGACATGTTCCTGTAACACAGAACTTCTCATTTTTAGCCTAGTTGTGGGGACCTGGCTGTTGTCTCACTCCAAAAAGGAGCCTCCGCGGCATTATGATCTCATAGCAGGAAATTATCCTTTTGCAAAATGTGATTTTACGCAGAGGCGTAAATTTCCGTACGTTTACATTTAACTTAAAGGATCCAAAAGAGGGGAAACAACAAGTTGCAATCAGCTCAAACATTTTGTTCAGATCCCCCATGGCATTTGGGATCTGATGGGATCTCAGAGGATCACTGCTTCTGAGGGCCTGGCAGCAGGATTCAAACAGTGAAACTGTTCTGCAATTCTTCAAAATCCCCCCTTTTTTGTTTTGTTTATACATTTTGCTCAAACTTAAGAAATAGCATAATTTCTTGGGGGACAGAAGCTTTTTTATCCCGCTGTTATGCCAGGGATAATGCATATCAATGGATTTAAATTAAGGAACCCAGTTCTTAACTCTAAATGCTTTTATTGATTTTGGGAAGCATTCATCATCACAAGGAGCTGGAGGCCTATCATGATCCCAGGAGCGACAAAACAAAACCAAAATCCCCCAAAGAGCTCTCCAGACCAATACAAAACAACAACAACAAAAAGAAGAAGAGTTTTATTATTCTGTTCAAATCGTGTTTGCAACAGACTGAGGCCGTTGTGCATGGCAAGCACTCATTACAGAGGGCCATTTATTCATATGTACAGCAAGGTATATAACACCCCCCCCCACATCAAGAATTAGCTGGTTCACAAACCATTAATCAAATGAGTTGTAAAACAGCTAATTGGGGAAGGAACTGCAAAAGGCAACCAAGAAGCTGAAGACCGAAGGCAAACTTTTTCTCTTCCATGTAGTATTTATTCCTGCCCCCACATAAAGGCAGCCTTTTTTTTAATTTAGCTAATGAGGACTACAGTACAATGTTCCGCCTGCCATTTCCAAGGATCTGGCGCGAGACCATACTTTTTGAGGGCTGCTCAAAAGGGGAAGGAACCCCAAACAGGTTTAGACCCCAATTTCAAACCTCACATGCTGCCTTCTGAGATTGTATTCGGGAGGAGTCAATTTTTTCAGAAAAATTACCATCATTATTCACCCAAGAGAAGAAATGTAGAATAAAGGGTGGGAAAATGTAGAATAAAGGGTGGGAAAAAACTAGAAGACTGAAAGGGGATCAACCTGACTTCACTTTCAACATGGTGGGGTTGAACAGGAACTTTCTGCAGAAGAACAGAAGCGGCTCAGAGCAAAGACAACCAAGAGGCAAAACCTGAACCTCAATTCATCATTTTGGGAGGGTTTCTTTTTCAAGGGGTTTTCATAGCCGGTCAGCTTTTGTTAACTTTTGCCTTTGTGAAATCTAGACCCCCCTTTGAAGTGACAAAAGCAGCCAGGCTGCCATAGACTTCAAAAGCAGGCAGCTTTCAGCCCTGCTAAGTCAGAACCCTCTTTCGTCTTTCGTCCCTGATCTGCTAATAGAAACTCGAATAAAAATATGACGAAGGCAGGAAAGAAAAACAGCCTGAATTCGGCCGGGGCTTTTCATCCATTGCGGAACAGAGCTCTCCGCTCCTCTTCCAGAGTCACCCCCTGGGTTATCTATCTTGTCTGAACAAGGCTGGAGCAAAGAGGGAAGAAACTTTAAACTCGTTGCTGCCGTAACCCTTGGCCATTTAAAATCAGAAGAGCTGGCCCTTTTGATGGAGGAAAGGAATGGAAGGGACTAAGGAGGAGAAATATATGGAATAAGTATGTACGATCAAACCTCCCCGTTTGTAGCAGCGCTGCTGAATTTCAAAAGAGAATCCAACGCATGAGTTATTTGGGCCTGTTCAAAGCAAAACTTTACTGAAGAAAAGAGCAATTTGGGGGGGGGGGGAGACCAGGGAAGTAACCAGCCAAAGCAGAGGGGCAACCACGGTGAGTAAAGGGATGGGATGAGGGGGGGGTCCAGCCCAAATGGTTGGGGGCAACGTTTATTCTCAGCAAAGCCAGGGTGGGGCAGTTTATTTATTTATTTAGCATACAGCAGCGGCACTAAATCAATAAACAAAGGGGGGAGAATGCGGATTGGAGGAGGGACAGACCAGAGCCCGAACTGACAGCCTTGGGGAGCTCTTGAGCCCTCTGCGGGGTGGGCCGGATGGACAATTGGACTTTGGGGACCGGGACCGGGCGGAGGGAACCTTCCTCCTGGCTTGGCTAATCAGACCCATTTTGCTATCCACTTACTCTCCACACCACCACCACCCCCATTTCATCCCGCTCCTCTCTCCGAGGACAAGGCCGGCCGGGATGGGGGGGGGTCTCTGCTCGGGGATGGGAAAGTTATTTCCCAACCCTGGGAGCCGAAGAAGCTCCTGGGAGGAGAAGCGAAACGTCTTCAAGCAAACCCCAAAGAAGAGTCCAGCCAGGTGCCTCTTGGTGGGGAAAAAAAGCATTTTTCTCTTTTTTTGGGGGGGAGGGAAGGCATTTTCCAACCAGCAGCAGAGCCAGAGACGCGGGGGGGGCGGGCAAGGGAGCCCGCAGAGCGCCTCCTCCAAGCGGCTTCGGGGCAGGGGGCGCCCGCCCTCCCGCCGCCCTCCCGGCTTACCTGTACCAGAGCAGCCCCTTCTCGTAGCAGCGGTCAAAGAAGTGCGGCTCTGCCCCGACGGCTCGCACGTCCGGGTGGACGCGCAGGAACTCGAGCAGCGCGCGGGTCCCGCCCTTCTTCACGCCGACGATGATGGCCTGCGGGAACTTCTTCTGGCCGGAGCCGCTGGACACCGGCAGAAGAGCCCCGGCCGGAGCCCCCCCGGGGGGCGCCTCCTCCTGGGGCGAGGCGGCGGCGGCGGCGGCGGCGGCGGCTTCCTCGCCTTCCTCCCCTTCCTCCTCCTCCTCCTCCTCCGCTTCTTCCCCCGGCGGCTCGGGCGGGCGGCGGGGCCAGAGGGGCGCCCGCGGGGGCCAGCCGGGCCGGCGGAGGGGCTGGCAGGGGCCGGTCAGGCAGTAGAAGAAGTAGCTGCAGAGCAGCAGCAGCATCGCGCCCAGGGCCAGCGGGCCGCGCGGCACCAGCCCCCCCAGCGGCCCGCCGCGGCTACATCCCATGGGCGGAGGGCGAGCCCGGGCAGCAGCGCCGAGTCCCGGCTGGGGCGGCGGCGGCCGGCGGGGGCATCGCTCCCCGGGCCGTCCCCGGGCCGCTCCCTGGGCACGCGTCTCCCCACCACCGGTCCGCGGTGCCCCGGGCGCCTTTCAGCGCCTTCTGCTGCCGCCTGACCCCCCCCTCCCCGCCCCTTCGGCGCCGCCCCCCCGGCCGCCCACTTCCCCCCCTCCCGGCTCGAGGGCGGGGGCCCCGACCGGCTTCTGCGCCGGCCAGCCCGGCATTCACAGGGCGGGGCGGGACGGGGCGGGGCTGGCCAGAGAGGCGCACCTTCCCGGCCCGGCGGAGGTCCCGGCCCGAGCTCGCCATCTGGCAGGGGTCCCGCTTGCCCCGAGGGGTCCCCCGCCCGGGGGGGTCCCCGAGCCGCGGGCGCCCTTACCTGGGAAGGCGGAGAGGGGGGCCCGCCCCTCCGGCGCTGCCCCGGGGGGGGGAGAAGCCCAGGAGACGCGGGGCTGCCGGATTTCGCCTCCGCCCCCCCCCCAGCCCCGCTGCAGCCTCCTTCGCTTTGGAGGGCCTCCCGGGCATGCGAGGCTGGGGTGGGGGGGGTTCTCCTGGGGTGGGGTGGGGTGGGTTGCGAGGGATCCTCTGCAGGCGGCGGGCTTGCGCTGCGCCCTTTTCCCCGCAGCGGGCTCGGTCCTCGACGGCCGCCGCCGCTTCCGCGCGCCTTCCCTGCAGCCTCTCCCGGGAATGCGGGTGGGTGGGTGGGAAACTCTTCTCCCCGGTTCGGCGCCGATCGGATTGGAAAAATTGACCTGCCCTTCAGTGACGCGGATCAATAAAGCTGTCTTTTCTGCAGAAAAGCTGGAAAACTGACCCGTCTTGTTCGCACGACTTGCAAAACTTCGGGGGGTGGGGAGGGCATTTAATCGAGCCCGGTGGCGGCGTTCACACGATATGCACGAGCCAAGTTGGGTCAGAGGTTGATTTAGTAAGGGAATCTATATGGCCCGCGTTGCATTGAGCTACTTTGATAGAGTGTGTGTGTGTGTGTGTGTGTGTGCAGGTTCTTTGTTGTGTACTTCGGTCGGTCGGTCGGTCGTGTATGCAACTGCTCTCTTTACCGCTCGGCAATTAATTTGTTTTTAAAAACCAATTTAACTCGCCTCCTACTCGTCTGGAGAACACTTGATTCTTGTGCACGCTTCAAAGTTAATGAAGGTGAGAAACAGACAAAAGGATGTGTGTATATACACGTTTAAAGTCTAATTCTAAAGGTACGTATTGGATGAAAAATATATCCCCACTGCAGTCATGGACACTCTTAACATTTAATGCTCAATTTATACACTTGCGTCGGATATTAGGATGGAAAAATATGATGTACTTGCAAATGCAACTGTTAGGACGCAATTGCTAAAAAAGCTATACGATTCTTCAGTAGCACAATGCCAAATTCAGGCAAATAATTGTTCCATTGCTTCGCTCTCACTAGTCAAACTGCAACTGAAATATTGGCTCCATTGTGAGCCCCACATTTAAAAGGTGAGCTCAGACTTGTGACCAGTCCTGGTGGGGGGGGAGGAGGAGGAGGAGGAAAAGGGGAGGGATAAAAACAACGAACCCAGCCAGGCAGGGTTTGGCACACCTGAGCCCAAGAAGGAATGGCACGGAGGTTGTTGCCACTTAAAGTTGGAAGAAACAGGCAGAATGTACTTCTGGTTTGGTATAAATACGGCTGGATTCCTAAATCCTGCAATACAGGAACAACGGCACTGGAAAAAGTGACTTAGGACCGTTTTTTCTCACTGACAACTGTTGCAGCATCCCCGTGGTCACGTGATCAAAATTCAGATGCTTGCAACTGGTTCATAGTTATGACGGTTGCTGTGTCCTGGGCTCATGTGATCTTCTTTTATGACTTTCTGACAAGCCAAGTCAATGAGGAAACCAGATCCACTTAACATCAGTGTCGCTAATTTAACTGCAGTGACTCACTTAACAGTTGTGGCAAGAAAGGTTGTAAAACGGGGCTGTTATGATTCGTTGTGGGTAAGGTTATGTTATGAATCTGTCAAGAAGAAGGGTTGGGGGAGAGAATCAGAGCCTGGATTTTGCTCAGGTAACAAAGGGGCAGTGACTTTCACCTGTAACATCCTCGCTGTCCCCCACCTGCCCACTGTAGGGATGGAGCAACTACTGGTTCTCATCTGAATGGAAATAGAGGTCATTTTGCTGTTTTTAATCAATATATGAACCAAAGCTCGTTTGCCAATTGCAGTTGAAAGCTGAACGCTCAACTATCTGAACTTCACAGTCCTCTGAGTTTGTTGCTTTTTTAAAAAAAAAAGCAAGTTTATTACAGAAAAGTCTGTGCAAAAGTGTGTGTATTTATCCAAACAATGCAGAAAAATGCATTACTTTAGGAAAAACACTGATGGGAAAACTGTAAATGAAGCAAACTGACAAACAAAACATGTAGATGTTCGGGGAAGCTGAAGTGAAGGTGCAATTAATGGTTGGAAAAATGAGGGGGGGGGGAAACCCCAAATGAAACTGAATCAGATGCTTTTAGCTTTTTCATCCACCTTGTCTCCCCTCAAACGTTCACCCAAGTCTTACCAAATACTTTTCACAGAAATACAGTTTGGTAGCAAATTAAAGTAAAGTATTAGAATCTACAGTAATGTTTTTACAGTCTTGGAAGAAAACAGAATAAATTGTTAGATTTCTGCATTTCTGAGATGTCTGGGGGGAGGTGGAGGAGAAAGGAGAAAGAAAAAAAAGGAGAAATGAGAGGAGGAGGAGGAAACACTATAAGAACAAAAGTATCACCATGCCAAAAATAAACACAACATATGTGAGTAAATTTAAAATATATACAAAAGTTTGAACAAGCCAAGGGAGATCCCTTTTTTTCCTATGGGAAGAATAAATGTGGTGTTTTGATGAGGTATATGCTGTATGTATATAATTTATACTCTCCCTTGAACTTTCAAGATATTGCAGGATACAAATCAAAGGCAAATGCACAGATGTGTCTCTGCCAGTTTTTTTTTTAAATGATATTCCTGTCCCCAACCCAGAACTGGAATTAAAGAAACATCAAACACCATTTGGGAACAGAAGTGGTAGGTTCAGGGAGTGGGAGGGGAGGGGAGGATGTTTGACAGCACACATTCAATTAATATCTTTGCAACTGAATTTCCCCCTCTAATTTTTCAAGCCTTAATTACTGTTTTCAACCTTTTTTACCATGAGAAGGGATCTGCGGGGAAAATCCACCTCTTTTCTGCTGAATTTTAAAATAAAAAAGGGAAACGTGTTATCAATAAACAGCAATTAGTTCGGGGATAGCCACATGCCAAGCAATTAATGCTTGCAATTGTCACTTTTAATTTATGTAGGTGAGTTGTTATGTGCACATGTTCACCAATATCAATATATGTTGTTTCTTTCTCTTACTTCATGAGCCGAAAATGAAGTTTAAAAGATGTACTGGTTCATACAACATGCTAATCCATACTGTGATTTAAACACTTTTTTAAAAACAAGCCGTAATTGGCTGCATTCATACATTGTGCTGAAGTATGAATTGTACTTTGCAAATCCAAGGGTCAGGCTTCCCATACTGCAACATAGAACCCAACCAGGAAATCTAGGTTATCAGGAATACTTTTACAGAATAGAATAGAATAGAATAGAATAGAATAGAATAGAATAGAATAGAATAGAATAGAATAGAATAGAATAGAATAATAACTTTATTGTTACTTTGAATGTACACTAATCGGCATACATTAAAATGAACTTTTGTTGCATACAGCTCTCAAAGGGTCACCACATCTAATATACACTACATAAATATGGCAAAAGTAAATAAATAAATAAATAAATAGCTGGAGAATAATTAGGAAACCAGAACAAAACCCTTCGCAAAGTATTCCTCTATAAAGCTCAAGCATTCATCGGAGCAGCGGTTCCCAACCTTTTCTATACCCCGCACCCCTAGAACACTTCTGATATATTCTCGCACCCCTTACAAAAATAATAAACTTATTTAAACAAATTTTGAAGGACATGAACATAAAAAATAATTTTGAAACTTCTAAACCCAAGTTTTTGCACCCCCTGGAATATCGTCTCGCACCCCCGGTTGGGAACCCCTGCATTAGAGCATGAAGTGGAAAAAATGACCAGATTTTATTGAGATATTCTATGGGAAGGCCCAGTGGGGAAGAAGACTTTAATTTTGGTTTCTTATGGTCGTGATTGCATCAGTTTGGGGATCTCTTCAGTATTTCTCATTTTTCCCACTGGCAAGTTCAGTTTATTCTATGCTATACTGTGCTAGGTAAACATATTTCTGAACAAATATTTGTGTTGGCCTTTTAGACTAACATTCACCAGTATTGAAAACAGATTCTTTGATGTAAGGTAGCCGTGTTCATTATTTTCAAAAAATATGTGCATTTTTATACAGAATTTTCTCTATTGTTTTACTATAAACTTTACAAAATCTGGAGAAGTACTGTATGAATGATGAAGAACAGCTCACTCTGGGTTTGTATATTAGTTTACATTCAAATATACATTCAAAGTTTGCATTCAAATATACATTAGACAAATCTGTAGTCCATTCTGAGTAAAAATAAATAAGTTAATTGATGGTTGCTGTGTCAGTAAGTGTCTTTGCTGCCAACCTAGAAGGACTATGTCTACGGAGGTTCTCAGTCATCCAGGTCATGGTTGTCCCAAAGGTGCTTTTTCAAAAGCCAACTGGACTTTCTTGTTTCGCTTGAAGACATTTTGCTTCTCATCTAAGAAGCTTCTTCAGTTCTGACTGAATGGTGGAGAATGGAAGGATTTATATTTTCCTTGCAGTCATCTGGTTGTTAGTGCTCTTTCTGAGAGTCGTGGAGGCCACTTGCAGATGCTGAGAATCTCCTTAGACATTTAGCTATGCGTTTTGGAATGAACACCCTTTGAACGGTGTGGAAATATGAATGGATTTCCAGAAAAAAATTGCGGACTACAGGATGCAGGTGACCCTGAGGGACAGATAAATCTCCAAGTGGCCTCAACGACTCTCAGAAAGAGGGCTAATGACCAGATAGGAATAGCAATAGCTCTTAGACTTATATACCGCTTCCCGATGCTTTACAGCCCTCTCTAAGCGGTTTATAGAATCAGCATTTTGCCCCTAACAGTCCTCATTTTATCGACCNCCCCCCCCTCCCCGCCCCTTCGGCGCCGCCCCCCCGGCCGCCCACTTCCCCCCCTCCCGGCTCGAGGGCGGGGGCCCCGACCGGCTTCTGCGCCGGCCAGCCCGGCATTCACAGGGCGGGGCGGGACGGGGCGGGGCTGGCCAG